ATTGTTTTTGATGCAACATAAATTATGGTGTAGGATAAAAATAAGGTTCTAAAAAAAGACACTATTTTTAATTAGTTAACTATAACCCTGCACATGGTGCAGGATGTTCTAAAAAATAATATATACTCTATTTAATAAGTGTAATAACAATTTTTAAAATAAATATTCGATATCTTTTGTGTGTTGATAATTTTGCTAGTATACATAGAGTCTGGATGCTTTGGTAAGATAATTGGCAATTTTTAACTGTTTTATTTGCATCTTTGCAGAATCTGAAAATTCCATACTTTCATTTTCTTCTTTAAGTTTTTCCCAGCGGAAAATCATTTCTGAGAATCAGAATCCATGTAATATTTAGCAAATTCAATATAGCAACCGAGAATTCCAGGTGCAAATGCAGGTCTCAATCCATTGAGAATAATATTAATTGTGAAATCTTCATCAAATTGGTAACCATCAAATGGTCTTTGTCCAAGTTGACATCTCAGACATTATGACTCCAAAGCCATAAATATTAGCTGTCTTTGTGAACTTTTGACCTGATAAAATCTCTAGTGAGACATAAGGAATGATACCATAAATACAACCTCTGATTCATTTTAGTTAAACTTTCTGGAAAATTCCATACCTGAGATGAAAGAATGTAATAATATCGTTAACGCATATATCCAGCATTATGAATTTTATCTAAATTCCGTGAAATATATAAGTAATTTTAATTTAGTTTGCCAGTAAGTTATTGGAAATTTTTTCTTAAAAATCTATGAAGACTTCCATCATTAGCATATTGAAATACCATCAAGTATTCATTTGTTTTTTGTGTTTTGAGTTAATCCATATGTCTTAAAGTTACTACCCCATAATCCACATTTCAAACTTATGAATTTATACTGTATAAATGAATAGTTCAATATGCGTTTCATGAACTGTGCAATGAATAGTGATGTAACTTCTTTCAAAAACCAAGAGAATTTTCCTTATAATGAGATAGGGTCTTGAGCGCAACGGTGCTATACGATTTACGTGACCTTATATAAAATTTCATGTATTTTACGTTTAACATCAATTTTTCGTATACAATCTTACCATTCTATACCAGTGTTGGCAGTTCAAATGACTAATGACCAAATGAATTGGTCATTGGTCATTTGGTCATTTTACATTTGAAATGACTAAATGACCTAATATGAGTGTCGCCAAGAGAAAACATACACATTTATATATAGGCTATATTTAAATGTGTATGTTTTCTTTTGACGACACTCATAAAAATTATACGTATATGCTGCACACATTTGCTTGTATCTTGTTGGTTGGCATATTGTCGTTAAATGACGTGATCACAGTGATTTTAACATATCTGATATCGATATTAGATGACCAAATGACAAATGACCTGACCATTTGATCATTTCATTTGGTCATTTAAAATCAAATGACCGGTCATTTACCAACACTGTTCTATACAATTATTTTAATGATTTATCTGCTACTTTAGCATTTTGTTGGCTATATCTAATGTTACTATATAAAAAAAATTGTTACCGTGTCGAAAGCAGGGGTCACTCAAAAAGGATAAATGGCAAATAAGTAACATTGTATTTATGATAGACAATAATAATCGGTAACTAAGACCCGGTAATTCATCAAATTTTGTGCTTTCATATTAATGCTGCCGTGAAGAAACACGTAACTTTATTAAATAAGATTTGCTGGTTTTCTCTTGGTAGCACCCATACTAAATATTGTTACGAACTCAAATTTTTATTGTTCGAAGTAGGGCATAGTCAGTGTGCATGTGCGCAAATTTTGGATTTTGATTGGTTAAAAATAGCCGTTTTGCCGGGTTTATCTGTGTTTGTTCTTCGAACTTAAATGGGTTTCCCATTTACCAAGTGAAATTAATCTTGTGCAGTGATGTGTAACTAAGGATCGATAATTTTGTGCTCTCATATTAAATATTTAAACATGTAGTTACGTATCAAATTAAAATTGCATGATAATATTCTTTAATCTAGAAAAATGCAAAAATGAAGATTATTATATTAATTGTTCTTGTTTTCTGTATTATCCACCCTTATAGGAATACATCCGCATTTCCTGCAGGAAGGGCAGAACATAGTGCAGTTTATATTGCCAATAATAAAAAACTTTACATTCTTGGTGGAATGGATTCAAATGGAAATGCTAGTAGTAATCAGTTATTTTATATTGATGTTTCAGAAGCTTTCACGATTAGTATACCTTCAATCAAATGGGTTGACCTTTCTTCGACAGCAGGAATAACAAATCGAAGTAGTGCAACAGCTTGTGAAGATAGTAATACAATTTTTTATATTGGTGGAGTGTATCGTGGAGGTCTTGTTAGTAGATTTGATACATTATCTAGAACTTGGAGTGAACCAGTTACTTCTGGATCAATACCTACAGAAGTATTAACATACACACAATGCGTAACTTTAGGACATAAGATATATATTTATGGTGGGGCAAGCTCTTATAAGATTAATATATTAGATTCTTCACAATTAAGCTGGTCTTCGTTTTCATCGCCATTAATGTATAGTGGAACGCAAGGTTACAGCGCTACATTACTAAACGACATAATTTTGTACATCGGAGGGGGATTTGATTCAGTTACTGTTTGTGAATATAATTCAAATAATAAGGTATAATATTAAGCTTTCTGATTATTTTTGCACTAAGTTTCTTGATTAATGTACATTAAAACGAGACTTATGCAAATGACAAATGTACAATATAAAATTTGGCAACTACATCTGTTATTTTAATTTAGATACAGCAGATTATAAGAAGCATTTATAAAAAGATGTTATTTGCTAAACATATGTTATTTGCTAAACATGATTGTAATTTTATTTAAATATATAACCTTATACAAAATCAGATATCAGTTTCAGCTTTCAATACAAGTGATAATACTTGGAGCGTGATTGTAAGTTTTGATAAAATTGGTAATTTCAAAA